AAGAATATCGAGCCGGTGGCGGTTGCGAAGGTGGCTCGAGGGGATCTCTGGCGCGCCATAGAGGAGCGAGCTGTGCAAGAGCGGAAAGTCGCTTGTCGGCGGTGGCCGGTGTGGGGGTAGATGGCGCGAGCGCGCGTTATTTGAACGCGAGAACGCCGAGGCTCGTGTCACGGTGCACCGGTAGGGTACGAACAGACGTAACTCACGAGCTCAATTTTCACAATAGTACTAACTTTATTTTGCTCTGGGTTCGAATATTTATAATGGTTTTGGCTAGAGGAGAGGTTATTGGTACTATGTGTCGTGAGTCCAAGGGATGACTATGGTTTCAATGATTTATTGGGGCTGTGTCAAAGGTTTGGGGGCTACTGGTCGGCTATCTTCTGGCGCGTCATGATGTGTTTGTTAACTGCGTCACACTCGCGCCTCCACGACTACCCTAGCTGAACTCTGTCGATCGCCCGTTGCCGATCCGTCTATTCTCGTCCACCTCGTTTTGGCGAACCAAAAAATTTCGTCCAAGGATCGAGACGGATCGATCGGAACGCGCGATGTCGCTCGAATGCCAGCCTCTGGTTCTAGCCAGTCGTTAATTCCGCTTCTCGTCCGCTCGACTCGCGTCACCACTCCGTATTCCCTGGACGCTTCTTCGTCGTCTCTCGGCGCGCGTGTCGCGTGGGACTCGTTGAATCGGGAACAAGTGACTCGGGTATCGCGGATTTCGATGGACGAACCGATCTTCGCGATAGGTAATTCATCGCGACAGACAGTCTGGGGGAAAGTTATTTTTCACTCGCGGAGGAGTATTTTTATAGACCTGCGGGCTGACTCGAGTTTCCTCCGTTAGCGTTCGGTTTCGTACCAACGGTGTCAGTTACTGCGGATAGAATATGCTATATAGGCGCGATGACAGATGGAAAGCTCGCCGTGGTAGCGTGTCTCCAGGACGTCTCTCGGTGGCTCGTCAACGTCGGGTTCAATGATGGCTCGAATTCGTTATATTCGGGATCCCGGGCTGTGTCAGCTGGCAATCACCGATATCGAAACGATACGCCGCGGTGGTAATCGTGTCGCTATCATCGGTGCCTCGAGCCTCGACTTTCGCCGGATCGATCGTAATCGTAGTCGTAATATCGTCCAGCTAATCGTTCCACCCGACCCTGCGACTCGCTACTTTTTACCCCCTCGAAGGGTCGCTCGAGAGTTCCGGATTACTCCAAGATTTAATCCCTTTTTGCTCGGGTGAAAAAGGGGTGCGAAGCGTTCCGAGGACAAGCAAGGATTTCCCGAATGTTCGTAATGTCTCGGTGAATGATTAATCAGCCTTGATCCTTCGAGCTATTCCGCGTTATCACCGGTGCTGAATATTCCATAACGTCGTTGAAATTCGCTTTTATCGTTCGCCGAGCCATCGGTATCGCGGAATCGGCGTGGCAATAATTAATCACCCTCTTTCGCGTTCCTCGTCGCTTTCCGACTTCCTCGACCTTTGTCTACCAAACAAGAGAATCCGAAGAACCGTAGGACGGAGAACGTCGGATCAGAAGTTAGTAGTCTACGAGAGCATCCCATATTCCGACACTGTCCACGCGATTTATCTCCCAGTTTAACCCCTATTCCGCTGAAAGCTCGATTCTCGGCCCCTCTAAAACCACCCTAACCAATCGGTACTAAAAATTGCGTTCTCGTCGGATCCGCCCGATCCGCCCGATCGCGTCATCGATGACCAGGATCCGCAACGGGGCAAGAGCCATTTCGAACGTGTACGCGATTTATTTTCGTACCACGACGAATCATAAATATTTCAAAGCAACCCCCGTTGCCGCGCCGAGCCCTGCGCCACGCGTCCTCCAGCGGCCCCCACTCGTACTAGCTTCCCGTTTGACAAGTTTCCGGTTCACGGTCAACCGAGTTTCTCCCTGCTCGCGGCCAGACCGCGTTCCGACCATCGTCCGCGCGACTTGGAACCCGGTCCTTGCGAAGACGCGCGCTTAAAAATAGCCCTCGACGATGGCCGAACAATCGATGCAACTGACAAACGCGTTCGTAAAGCGGATTTTTATCCGCCGACTAATTTTACCCCGCTGACGTACACGCCGCGTTTTTCGGGCCTCGAATTCGTCTTTTCGACCGGTTCGACTTTTCCCTAGCCAGTCGGGTGACGTGGGCACCGCCGTCGAGTAGGATCGATGACAATCGTGCACGTGTTCCCTTTTTCTCCTCGAAATGTCCGGGTGGAAGCAGCAGGAAGATAAATATCGACGTGGTATTGCCAACGGTCCGTGCCGTTTTCTGTATCTCCGTCAACCAACCGGCTCTCGAAACAGGGTTAATTAGAGAGCTCCGAGGGATCCGTACAAGTGGAGGGAAATTTTTCCGAGCCCTTTTCGAGCAAAGTCGCTCGTCTCTTTTAATTTATCGACGAGAGCCTATTCCTGGGTCACCTACGCGTTTGCCTAAACGACGAATACCGATGAAAAATAAGTCCTCGGTTCCTAAGTTCGAGGTAGCCGCCTCTGATCGGATATCGGACAACGGCTAAGAGTTCGTCCTAATAGTTGCAGGAGCCGCTGGGAAGCAAATGGCCGCCATTTCGGCGGAGCAATTTGCGAAAAAAGCCGCAAAGTTGTTCGTCCTTCCGAGGCTTTCGCGAGTACGAAGCAACGCGGTGACGTCGCGACAAAGTGTGTCGCGTACTCTTTGCGGGGAACAATTGATCTCGAGAACAATCGCGAGCAGGCCGGAAGCCGGGTCGCTTTCTCGGTTCCGCGCGAAATTCCGCGAAGCAGAGACCTCGGTCCTCCGGTCTCTCGATTAATTCGATCTTCTCAAAGCGCGAGAGCGAGACAGGGGGGTGCGGAGGGGCGCGGGCGGGTGGAAAATGAGATCGTTATTGACCATTCGTAGCTGGTCGGGAATGAGCGGAAGGAAACGGGATGCAATTTCCCGCGATATTGTTTTTCTCTGCGCGTTTCCCGTCGAAAGATAGCATTGATATCCAGCTTTGTATTCCTTTGTCTCCCGAACGTCGTGTCCCTCGCATAATGCCAAGAGCGTTCGACCCCGGAACAGACACTCGTCCGGAGGAAATTGCTGCTGGACTTTGTGCTCGAAATGTAAACTAGTCCGAGTGCGTTGTAAAATTTGAATTTGAATTTGGAACGCGTTCTTTAGGGTGCAGCGACGGATATTCGCGTATCCTCGTTGGCCAAAAGCGATCCTCGTCTTCGCCTCGTTAACCTTGACATCTCGGCGTGGTCCTTGGAATTAGCGAGGAGCGCGTGCGAGGGTTGGTTTAGGTTGGTTGGGAGGGAAGCGATCGCGAGAAAGGGATTCGGATGCCTGATCTTGGAGGGATCTAGACTGGAATCCTCCGTGATGTTCGATCGCGACTACCACGCGTGGAGCACGACGCTGTTCCAGTTTCATCCTGCGTTTTTATTTTCCTCGTATGACAATACTCGAGGAACGAAACAATCGCTGGCAACGAGGAATATACGGGGAAGATATTCCGTTCCTTTGGCTGGATTACGACCCAGAAGCAACGGCTTATTTATAGTCGAGCCATTAAACGTCGGTTTCCCGGTGTCCTTCAAGGATTCATGGTCACGAGCAGTTTTGTCCTACGCGCGCTCGACGGCTTCGATCTTCCCGCCACTTTGTCACCGGGATTCAACGCATAAATTTCCCCGGTGAATTTATAATTCCGCGTCACAGCCGTGGTCCTTGCCACGACGGCCATATTTATTGTCCCGCGCGCCGCGAATGAATTAGTCCTAACGAGGCGGAACGCGAGCGGAGCGGATCGCGACGGCTCTAGGCCGCGTCTCTGGCCCAAGAATCCCTGTCGCAGTGCGCGAAATTTAAACGACCGGAGACCGTTGATCCGTTGAAATTGAAAATTTCTCAAACTAATTCACGATTTTACCGCCTTTTATTCTATAATAGCAAAATGTCGAATTATTCAGTAGGGTTTAGTAGACGACGGAGCGATTCGAAGCTAGCTATTTCTGTCACAATGTCCAATCGATCATCGGGACATGGTGGCGAAATCGAAATTAGTATTACCAGCGATTGCATTTTTCAGCGAGATTCGAGTAACGAGTTGAAATTTCAGCCACGATAGCCTCTAATGATCAAACCCGAGCTTCTTACGCAACGGAAAAACAACTTTGGCAGTCTCCATCCCCCATCCCTGTTTAACGACCCAATTAAACTCGCCACTCGACGTTCGAAAAACTCCTCGAGCTGCGAAAGTCGATACAAAATGCATCCGTGAACAACGCGCCGGGTGCTCTAATCTCTCGAGCGACTGTCAAGCAAATTCGCGAAGCGCGTCCGCCAATCGAGTTCCGTCTCGGAATTTTAATTCGAACTCGCCTTGAAAATATACTCTCTCTGTCACTCTCTCGCTGGAAATCCGCTGGACAGAGACGCTCGCGGAGGTATTCAGCGTGGCTTAATCGTTCGTTTGTCCGTGAAAATTCGAGTTCCGGCGGAGGGACGGGTCGGAATTCTCGCGATTCATTTCCTAATTGGCGCGACGCGATGCGACGCGAGACGTCGAGAGGCGGCGGCCGATTAGAAAAAGGGGATGAGAGTTGATTGGCGGTGGCGGCAACGTGGGAGTAGTAACATTTACGCCCCATTTTCGGCAGAATCGTTCCTCGAAGGAACAATCGTTAGCGGTGTGGCCGTGTAGCGCGACGTGCACGAGAACGAGAACGAGAACGAGAACGAGAACGAGGATGGTGCCTCAGTTTGGGGGCGGACCTCGGTGCAGGATGATATATCCGCAGCAGCGGACGAAGGCAGCCGACCAAGACAGCGGACGGCAGCCACGTAGACGGCACGCACTCGGCCGATCGTCACTCGGTGTGTCCACTTGTCGTCACGTCCGTCCTTTATCTATCGTTTATCCGCTCTTCTTATCGCGTCCACGCCTTCCTCGCGATTGCTGTCGCGGTTTTTCTCGCGTTTCCAGCATCGGCCAGCTCAGTGTCGCGCATTCCGCTGGTGACAACAGTGTGACGGGTGAAACGTCGTCCCGAGACGTCGTTGCTTCGAAGAACTCGTGGCAGTTTTACCGGGAACAGTGTCGTCCAACGTGGTTCGCCTTGCTCTCTATTTTCCAGAGGACTTTCTCAGTCTACGGTGATTAATTCGTTACCGATAATTAACGCGCGACGATTACGTTTAAATTACCGTGCACGAAATTCGTCGCGTTTCGATCAGGCCGCGTGATTCGCGGCAGACTTTCGGCCACCGGTACACCGAGTCGACGAGATCGCGTGGACGATTATCCTCGGGGATACTTTTTTCCTTTTCCGATTCAATTAAACGCCGGCTTTCATCGATCCGGGGCAACTGCCAACTGCTCCTCCGGATCCCTTGAAATATTCCCGCGCAGCTCCTTAAATATTCCGACCGCGTACGAGGGTAACTATTATTAAAGGAAAAACGAGGATTCGATCGCTGGGGCCGATCGACGTTCCACGGATAGAGGCTTTTTTCATACTGCAGGCTTGACCTTTCGCGATGTTAAAGTCTCTTCCGCCTGGACGAGAAACCGAGCTTGGTCGTTGAAACGCGAAAAAAGAAAGGAAAAAGAAGAGGAAACGGGGGAAAATAGAGGAAAGAGAAAAGAGACCGCGCCCTTCCTCTTCTCTCTTTTCCCCTCTTTTCTTTATTTCGAGCCACGCGGAATTCCCGCGATATGAAAGAATAGAGATTTCACTTTCCGCCGCTTTCACCGCGCAAAGTGCCGCTAAAATGGAAGCATTCGAGATCGACGTTGCAGCGTGCGACGTAGAAAAAATACCGTGGGAATGATACTCGAAATTGAGTAAACAATGGCTGAACAACTTTTTGTTACAACCGTTGCGGTTCTGGGTAGCGTTTGCCGGTGGAAAAGTCAGCATCCTAAATACGCTCGCGGTTTATGCGTTTTTTAGTTTTCGAATCGAACCGCTTACGCTTTTATTTCGTATGACCCGGCTACGACGCGTACATTTCCAAACAAAGCTTTGCAAAAATCCTACTTGATACGCTGTTGCGTTCCACGCCATTTACAACCTACGATTTCGATGATTTAAAAAAGAAATTACGCTCGAAACCGCTCGCTTCGACTTATCTACGCGGTACCACCTAGCACTAGCGAACGGGAAAGATATAAAATGGCGGTAAAAAAAGAAAAGAAAAAAAAAGAAAAAAAAAAAAATCGTAATTCCAGCTAGTCCCGATGGTCGTCGAGTCATCGATACCCGATTATTACTATCCCTAACGAGTCTGCGATGACATTCGCGGCGCGAGACCTCGGCGGAATCTCGTTCTCGAGGACGTCGATTCGCGTCGTTAGGATCCGTCTCCATCGGGAGGCAGCCGCGATTTCTGCAGTTGAAATTTAATTGCATCCTCAACTCGAGCGCAACCGAGATACGTGGCGGCGCATTAATCCGATCTTTCCGTGGCGAATTAGAGGACGTGCGACCACATAGATTATCCGGGAGGACCTTTAGCCCTGCCAGGCTTCTCTTCCTTCTCGTCAGAAATAACCGAATGCGTCTCCCGTGAGCTTCCACCTTTCGTCTCTCTCTCTCTCTCTCTCTCTCTCTCTGTCTCTCTCTCTCTCTCTCTCTCTCTCTCTCTCTCTCTCTCTCTCTCTCTCTCTCTCTCTCTGTGTGTGTGTCCTCGAATGTTCCGTGTCGAGCTGACCGGACCGTTGTACCGGATGATGGATTTACTCTCGATTCGGCTATCTCGGCCGGACAAGTTTCGGAGACTTGGTCGCGCGCGGCCCGGTTAAACGATCCTCGCTGTTAGCAGTAATTGAATTCGAGGCCAGCTTGTCGAGTCCTTCGGAAGCGGGAAAAGTCGCGGTTAATCGCGGCAGGGACCGGTCCTGTCCTCGTCCATTTCGTTCACTCGCCGAATGCCCAGCGTTTTACGTGCCCCTGCTCTATCGATCTAACGAGGGTGTTAGCGAGCCATATTCGGCTGTTGGGACAAAATCGAGGGATCAACGAGGCGGAAGATAATTACATCTTACGAGCGAGTGCAGTCGAAATGCGCGGCCGTGCATTAATTCGCGCGCAACAATGGGCCCGGCGGCGCGTGCGAGCTTTACCCTTGTTCTATCCGCACCCGTTAATCCGTCCAATTTATTACCCTCCCCACTCGGACGCGTCTCGCCGTGTTCAGGTGGATCGGCAACGAAACAGCGATACCCTCGCGTTTCCATTTGTTTACTCCCGCCTGCCGTTCGCGGACGCGACTTTGGCACAGTTCCGCCTCTCCCCGCCAAGATCCCGAGTTTCCCGACTAAAGTTCTTCGCAGTTGGATAATAAAATTTCGAACGACCGTGCGAAAGTTTCCGGGACGATCGCGGAACCGCCAACGGGAGGGCAGAGACGGGCGTTTTTAATCGCCTCGACGCGATTATGCAAACGAGAGACGCGACGATCCTTCGGCGACCGATCGGAATTTCGAAATTGGACCAATCGCGTGCGTTTCCCACCGAGGACGAGAAAAACTCGACTATCGCGAAGGACAAACCGATCGTAAATTTCTGCACCGCCGAAGCAGCCGGGCGGCGTTGACCGAATTAGCTTCCCTTGTATTTCATGCTTACCCCAATTTTCCGCGGACTCGCGCTCACGGCGAGTCGATGGAAAAATAAAGCTGCTCGCTCGCAATTTCCGGACACGGATCCCGAGATTTATATACGCGGCCGGGCAATAACGGCGCGCGCCCCGCCATCGTTTTACCGTTATTTACGCGGCCGAATCTTGCCAAAACGGCCACTTGCCAACGACGTTTGATTATTACGTTCTTATCGAGCGAGCAGATAACGCGAAACTAAACGATTATATTAAAACTGGATACCGAGTCTCGAGGTCGTCGAGTAGCGTCTTGGACACGCTTCGAATCCGAGGCGAGAGGATTCCGGTGTTCCTTCCAGAGATAACCCCTCTTTATGACAGCGACCAAGATACGCGGGATGCTTCTACCCGGATGCTGAAAACGTTAATCGAAACGCGTTGTAACGCGAGGAAATTGTCCCTACAAAGTAGAAACAACGTCCAGTCGGGTGATTGTAAGCGTCGAAAGCTCTAGCACCCTCGTTACGCTCGATCTGGCAGGAAATTTCACGGTGGCGCAATAATTGTCCCAATCTTTGCCATTTATCGACTAGGTTTTCGCCGATACGGTCGGTACAACGGGGTAAAATCTCGTTGGGCGAATTTGCCTGGCGCGACGCACGCTGCTCGCGAAAACCACCGGAAGTCATCGCAGACACGCGTGCGAATCGGCTCGTTCCGGATCCTTCGCGAATCCGCGTTCACGTGGACGGAAAACGTGTCACGGCCGATCGAACGCGAAACTTCCGTCGCAATCCGGCGATCCGTGCTGCAATCTTCTCCCTCGCCACTTCCGGTCCCGCCAAAAGCTTCTACCGCCGCGTTTATTTTCGCTGGGAACGCGAGCTCCCGCGAGCGAGCCCCTTTTAAATAAACTTGCGCCGAGAAATCTAATGGAACCGATCTTCTTTCTTCCTTTTCGTCGCGTAGACTCGGATATAACGACGAAATAGATCCGAAATTGGGGATAGGGGTAGCGTCCCGGCGCGTCTGCCGGAATTACCCTCCAGCTTTTCCGGATATGTTTATTTTAGTTGCGGAAGGTTCGGTTCCGACGATATTGTAGGATAAGAGACACCATCGCGGCGTGTAAACACTTCGACTACCCCGCGGAACAATATGACAGCGCACCCTATCATTTTCAGCGTTCCTCGAGATCAGCGATACACGCTGATGTCGCACACGGTAGCCGCATAATGCATCCTTCCTGAATAATACGTGAAAAGATTACCCACGGTTTACATTTTCTTGTACCAATTTCACCCCCTCGAGCGAGTAACGTAGTTAGGTAATCATAGATCGATTTGAAGGTAATTTTCGAGAACGACAAGATGTCTCGCATATTAACCCCCCTTGCACTCGACGAGTTTTTGGCTAGAGAAGAGTAGAAATTCAAACATTCTCTGTTAAAAAATTTACGATACTTTTCTCAGCAGTAAATAAAGAATTGTATAATAATAGAATTGTAGAATTATTTGATTTCGATACTTCGCACACTGTTACGTTACGTTAAATTTGACATATTGATTAATATCGATCTTCCAAATTCTACGAAATGGTGACTGAAGCTCACCTCTCGAGTGCAAAGGGTTAACACTAGGTTTACGGACGCTGTCTGTATACCTGTTTCTAAGGGCACCTGTCAAATTGACAGGTAAAGGAAACCACGTGCCTGTTTTTAAACGATTACTTTAATTTAAAAACAATTATATATTATATTAACAGTCTTAATATAAGTTAACTAAATCTGTTACCATCGTATAATCGGAGCAATCCTTCCGTCAAATTGACGGGTTTCGTAAATCTAGTGTCAACCACGTGCAACGTATCCATTTTGACGAAATTTACCCGAGAAATAGTTCTCGAAAGAGTATTTGACACGTGTCTCTTTATCGGCTATTGATCACACTGAAAGGGTGAAATCAGCCCTCGAAGGTAGGGGTTGAAAGCATACTTTTCGGAATATCTCGAGAATCGAAAGGATTAGAGCCAAATTTTTTTTTATACAAAATATAGCTTCCTACGTGGGGAACGTATGCACGTAGGAATAATTACGAAAGATTAATTTGAGAACAAAGTGTCATCGCGTTGCAATTCTTACAGAGGGAGGTCAGTGACTTTGGGACTGTCACGACGGGGATTTTTCTGTAAACCGTCCTTTTCCGCGGGTCCCGTAACGATCGATCCTAAATACTTCGATCGATTTCGAAGCTCTTTGGCAGTCGCGTGATCGGGACGGTGTTTGAAATCGGAACCAGCCGCCCGATCTCCGTGTTCCGGCTACCCCCGTGGCGATATAGGAGTCGGGTTGGAAAGGAAGTCGGCGCGGAAGTTTCGCGTCGATACCACGCTTAGATCCTTAACCAACGGTTGCACGGTACGGCTAACGCTCGTTCCTTCCGCGACACGCTAAAACCCTCGTCGATAAGCGGGGCGTGTAAAGCTGTAACCGTTACCTGCGCTCGTCGCGTGGAAGCGGTTCGTTAGGCTCGGAAGCGGTGGAAAAAACTTCGATTTTTCATCGACTCGTCCTGCGGACGATGATGAAGCGCGGATTACGACAAAGCCGCGGGTCGGGAAATTTTTTCGAATCCTCCGCGGCGTCGTGTGCTCGTCCCCTCGCGGTTATCTGACAGCGCGAACGCGTGCAAGCATAGCGGCAATTGCCTGCGACCATTCGTTACGCGTCACGTGCAACATTTTTAAACGTGGCGTGCGCCATCGCGGGACTAATTGAGGCCTTGATACCGCGGGGAATTACCTGCACTTTCCGGGGGAACCCCTTTGCTTTCGCCGAAGGTAGTATGGATTTGCCCTGCGGTTTCCACTTACCAGTCGGTTCCAGGCAGCGGTTTCGAGTCTCGAGAGCGAGGAAAAATTCGCGTCGTTAAAAATGCGATCGTGGATGGTAAAAATTCGGTGGCTGGTTGGATGAGGGCCGTAGGTAACGCGAAGATTACCACGGCGAATGCCTCTCGTTATGGATTCACCGAGGTTTCTTGGGCCGCTTCGCGGCTGGTAGGCGGAGCCAAGCGACCAGAGCACGTGGCGCGCGTGGAACGCTGCCTCGAGGAACTCGACGTGCCGCAGTTACCTTTCGACCTGTCAACAATAGACGTGCCGTGTCGCACGCGCGGTCGCCGTCACTTTCTTCCGCCGTCCCACCGCGAAAACTCCACCGAGTCCGGAGAAAGTGAAACTTTCCTCTATAGTCGATCGTCGGTGCTCCGAGCGCGTCGAGTCGGATCGGGAAGGACCGAGTTGCTCGCGTAAAGTGGCGAAAGGGTGTCGGGATATGTACGCTTAGAAGCGAGGTGATAGTTTCGACCAAGACTCGCGCAGCGGAGGATCGAAAGTCGAGGCGAATCGATCAACGTGATCGGCGAAATGCTCGCGGATTCGGTTGGAATACAGTGGCCCTGAGAGAGCCGATACCGCCTGGTTCGCTTCCACTTTATATCGCTCCAGATTAGCGTGGCACGAGCTGTTTCCCGCGAAAGTGACGGGGCGAAAATGCTGGTGGAAAAATGTTTCGTCCGAGTGCCGCGCGACGAGCTTTCCGCGAAATATTATTCGTCGGAAGCGGGACGAAAGTGTGGTGTAGTGTCGTACGACGTATCGATTACCATATCTGGACTAGCTGGAACGATAATAGGGGCATAAATATTACCCCAACGCTACGGTCTGCCGCTTTAGCTTCTCGCGTCACGATCTCCGGTCCAGCGGGCATCCCCTTTGCCTCGTAATTTTTCCCCCAAATTTCCACCGTCTTTTCTCCAATTTCTCGCGTTTTTCTACAAAAATTCCGCGTCGATCGCCAGTTATCGGTTCTGCAAAATCCAACTTTCCGCGTGTCTCCCCTTCATCCTCGACAGCGCAAATCGCGTCAGACGCTTTACCTGTTCGTACTCGAGACGCGTCCTTTTTCGAAACGCGAAGTTGCGTTACCCGTACCACCGCGAAGGTTCGAAAAATTACCTTTTGTTCGGGATTTCGTAACTTCGAGTTATACGTTGTAAACTACGTATCGCGAGCTGTGCGGATTGTAGTATACTCGCGTGCGCGTAACCGAGTGATATTAAAATAGTTGTGTTCCGCGCTAGGTGGAGGAGTCTCCCCGTGAGGAGCTCTAGAGTTAACTAGTTCCGATCGAATTGACGCACGACGGGTATATACAAAGTGGTTCTCGCCTGTGTCGTGTATTTACGGAATCGCAGTCGCAGTGGACCAGTTCGATTCTCCGTTGGCTCGCGTTATTTCGCAGAAGAGGCCGAGTCCGAATTCGCGCTTCACCCCGGGCGGAATTGTTAGGCCGGGGTGACTACTGCTGGTATTCGGAGGAAATCGTCGGCCCATTAATTACGTTCTCGGTGGCGGTAACGAGGTCGCGGCGGTCGAGTGGGTCTCTTTGACGGAAAGTCTCCTCGTGGTGATATTTTCCCGACGATCCGCGCGATCAGGCACGTTCGGACCCAGCCCCGGACCATCGGATTTCGTCTGCTCCTCGTTAAGTGGGATCAGCCGAGTCTCGAGCATCCGTGCATCATAAACAACGGGGACCCAGGTGTCGCGATTGTCGATAGCCGAGCGAAGGCTGCTTTCAATGGAATAGTCGTTAGGCGTGGAAACGAGGCGAACGAGTTTCCTTTTTGCCAACGGATCGAACCCCGACATCGCGATTGGGGGTCGCGGCGTTAATAAGAGCGGAGTGCTATAGCTGTTGCTAGAATGCGGAATTTTTCGTACGTTTTAACCCTTTGCGAAACAGGATCGATAGACGGACACCCGAAATTTTTTAACCCGTTAGGCGACGTCTTTCCTCGTCACGTGTACCTAATTTTATTCGCGTAATTAATTATTTGCACCGCGTAATTTCGATGTATCGACGGAACAGTGGGCTTCGACGCGTATATTCCATTTACTTAACGATATTTTATCGAATAAAATTAATTATGCTCTCGATACGCGATTTTTCACGATTAAATCATGGTGCAAGGGGTCGATGCTCAAATCGAACTAACACTGAGACTTGGTTCTGTGAAAATTAAAATTCTAAAGTGAAAACTAGTTTCTCCGACACGAGACCATCGACTTAGAAATTTTTATTACGGACGGTCTGCCGTGGAAAAAATGATCCCGTTCGCAAAGGGCTAACTTGCAATATCGGAGGGAAGCAGGTTGTCTGCGCGAGTACGGTTATTTCGTGCAACGGATCGCTGTATCGTTGTTTCTCCATAGCTATAGCAAACTACATAGCGCGCTCGTAAAATCAATCGAACCTAAAAATACGAGCGTTTCGAAACGGTAATACGAAACGCGCCTAGATCGACGCGCGATTTCCATCTGTACCTTCTTCGACGAAAGAAAAATTTACGAAACATCTATCCTTCGAAACGCGAAAATCATCGAATGGAATTAAATTTCGAAATAATCATAAACCGCGGACATTTTGGTACCACTCGAGATCGCGATGTAATAATTTCCAAACGCGCTGTGTCTCTCGATCCTGCCACGTTTCGTTTCCGCGTCTCCCACTGGGCGAAAGAAAATAGAAGAGTACCAACGTCGGGGGAAAATTTCGCAAATAGGCAATCGCGTAGAGTTTGCTGGGTGCGCGAAACGCGTGGAATAGGACTCGCGTGACCGAAATCGATGGACAAAGGGCCACGTTTGGATCGCGATCCGCTCGGTAATCGAGGCTGTGCCGCAATGCTGCATCGCGCGACTCGTTCGCCGGAGGATCGAGTGAAGCTCGGCAAACGAATTCCGCGAGTTCACGTCCGCCTGTCTGGAATCTTCGCTCGGACCAAGTCCTCGGTCCCCGATCAAATTCGATCCCGATTTCAATTTTTAGACATTCCGTTGCCAAGAGGATCGAACGAGAAATTTTACTTTTTCCCGAGTTACTTAAATCGTTTGAAATTATTAACGCGTGATTCTACGACTATTCGTTATGCTTGATTTCCTTTGCAAATTTTTCATTCGTAATTTTTCGTTAACGCGCCGAGGGAACAATTGGGCGTAGACGGGCGCAAGTCAGGGTCGTCGCGGGAAGAAACGGCAAAAGAAGGGGTGTAATTTCTAACGCGTCCGAGACACTGGATTCGTGGACCCCGGTGCATATAAATCAATCGCAGGCGGCGTGGACCCGTCCGTGAGACGGGAGCCGGTTTTTCAGTTTGCGCGTAGCGAAGGCGGGATCAACGGTACCGGTAGTTCTTCGTGAGCGACCCGATCCCGTTAAGTAGCTCTTCCTTTCGAGCTCCACTGCGCTCGGTTCGCAAAAACTCGCCCTTCTCTAGCGGAAAGCTCGCGATAAGAGTTTCCTCGTAACTCGACGCGTAGAGAAACACCGGTTTTTGCCGTGCACGAGCCGTACTAACTCGACCGTGTCGAAAGATTTATCCGGCCGGTGATTCGTAACGACGTTCGTCCCTTGGAGCAGTTGGCAGATTCCCGTGGACCCATCGCCGGACTAGTAATTTCGTATTCCGCGTACCGATAGAACAGAGTCAGTGAAAGAGACGCGACGCGACAGTGAGAGGAGGGAGAACGAAGGAAGCTGGATCGAGGAAGGATCGAGCGATCGAGGAGGGTGCTCTGGTCCAGGTGATAGACGCGAAGGGGATACCGCTCGACCTTGGTCGACGCTGGTCTCGAGGGTTATTTTAAAAGAGGGGCAAGGCCGCTTATGGTGCGGCAGGCCGAGCGGTTCCTGAGAACGAAACGGGCAGACGGTCGATCGGGAAGCGGGGCTGAAAATAGAGAGCAGGTTCCACGGAGATAAGAGATGACACCGGACACGGATCTTCCACGCTCGTAGTTTCGTCGAGGTATTATGAACCTGGAATTGCCATCGAGTTCTCTGTTGCCCGTGGAGATTGAGGTATGGCCGCGGTAGCCGGCATCTATGGCTTCTCAGAGGAGCGACACGCCAGATATTCCGAGCATCGGCAGCATCCGTGAGTTTCACGTGAAAGACGAAAGCGAATCGATAACCGCGATATTAGACTACTTTTGCTTCATGCGTTTCTCGCTTAACGCCACGCCGCGTTATCCATTCCTCGAGTTCTTTTGCGCGATCTTTCCAGGCAAAGGCGATCCAATCACCATCGTCGAGTTGCACGCGGGTCTGTACGCTGTCGGAAATAGATCGCTTTACCCGAAAGACCCGTAAAAGACTGGAGGGAGAAGGTCTCCTGTCGGGGGGACGTCCTCTGTAGGACGTTTCCCCGCTTCAGTTCGTACAAACGTACTTCCTGTCACTGTAATTGCTCCAACGCGCGCGGGTCACGTTGCATGCAGCGCGTCGACCATGATCCGAGCCGTTTAACCTCAAAGGCCAAACTTAATCCATGGTACGCGTTAGCTATTCCTCCATTGCAGCGCGAGATGGCGCGACGAGATGATCCGGAGAACCGAAGAAAGTCGACGGGGGGAAAAAATGGTACCTCGGTTGGGAAGTTAGGGCGAAAACTTGGCAAGATTGACCGCGGCGGTCCGACTCTTTAGCGGGACTTATTAGCATGGCTGAAAAGAATCTCGTTAGGCAGGGGAGTGGGGCACGAGGGTCGACACTTGCGTTTTAATTGCGCGCGGGATCGGGTCGGGGAAATTTGCCAATTTAATTTCCAAGTGATTCCGGATGAAGAGTCATGGGATTTCGAGGGCGATAAACGGAGGATGGGAAGGGAGGATGGGAAGGGACGAGCGAGGGGATTAAAAGGGTAGGCCTGTGAAGAACGCGTTGAAGTTGAACGGCGAATTACAAAGGGAGAAGAGTTCTCTGGCGTCGGTGGGTGCATGGTATAACTCGCATTTTCCAGCCCAGCTGCCTGGCCGTAAGGCCTGGCAGGAACTTGGTAATCGAATAATGCAGATGAGCAATAGGACACGTGGTTCGAGTCACTCGCTCACGCTGATCCTTTGTCCATCACTTTGCGTCTATGTACTCGTTGCGCTCGGGGCACGGGGAACCAAGTGCACACCGCGTCTCTGGTGGTGCATAAGTCGAATCGATCCTCGAGCCGCAAGTTTATGCGCGCATATTGTCCCGGAAGCAACAAGACTGCGGTTGTTTCTCGTTCGAGTAGCCGCGAAAGAGCAGCCGCATTTACCTTGGCCATGCACGTCTCTTTTAAGCTTAATCGGATCCAACTGTGTCTCCGCGTGGGGATATATCTCCGTTTTATGGCTGTTGGGAAGAAAACTATCATTTTCAGGGCACCTCGTCGTCAGAGGGGCCGCAGTTTGGAAGTATAAATGGTAGAGTCAATTTGGCCGGGAGTTAACTTTACGAGGGCCATGTTTTATTCGGCTTCGAAGAAAGAAGCCAGAGTGGCTACGGTTTCGGGATATAAATCCGCGCTACTCCTTCTCTTCTCGCGAAATTCCCGAAAATGGGAGCAAGCGCGCCGTCATTGCCAGTGGACAAACACTGATCCACTTTCCAACTTTCCGCCATAACGAGTCACGAGAATAATCGTTCTCCGCATTTGCATTCCCGCCTTGCCAGCGCACGCACGATTAGCATTTCGTCGCCTCTTATCCACGCTTTCCGAGCGTCCTGAAATAATGCGATATGGCCGACTTATCTCGAAGAGGATCATCCGCGAATATTCCGTCGATCGAACGAGATTAAATCGACGATCGTGGAAAACCTACGGTCGAACATCTTTGGCGCGGCCATGGAATAATTTTCGTCCGTGAAATTCTCCCTCCTTGCTTTTCCAACGTGGCAAATCCGCAATTTCGATGACGTCCGATCGCGGAGACACGCGTCTACGAATTTCCAGCGTAACCTGGTATTTCGTGGATTGGGCAGGATTAAATTAACGAAGGTTCGAAATGCACGGTGGATGAAAAGGAAATCGTCGAGTATCCTCGATACGACAATCGACGAATTAACGACTGCATTAACAACCACCGACTCCGATCCCCTGGCTCCAAGGACCTATATTTCATCGACTCTCTTAGCAATTAAGGGCGAAGCTCTTAGCAATTAAGCCCGGGCCGATTACCGGCGTTCCTCCGCGTGGCTGGGAAAAAAGAGATCACCGAAAGCGATTCCGTATAAATTGCGAAATCACCGCGTGTCTCGCGTGTCGCGACGAGATTAATCGGTGTCGGTGTTTTCTCCTCCGGCTGCTACTTGCTTGTATATCAATAATCTCGGCGGTGCACACGGGGTGCACGTATGTACAGAAGGGCGGTCGCGAGGGTGCAGAGGAGTAGGGTTGAGACGCGCCACGGTCGTGGGTTAATTGATTTCCAATAGCTAGCTGACCGGCCTTCGGAGCCGTGTAGAAGCGCAACCGTGTATCCGCCGGCCGTGTCCCCACACGATGAACCACCGATATGCTAACTGCGGAACACATCGTACATTAAACGCCTATGTAGAATTCATAGGATCGTATCGGTCCACGGCGCGGGTTAATTGGATCTTCGACACCGCGTCACCTTCTCTCCTTTGTTTACGGCTCTCCGCCGTTCTTTCCGACCCGAATTTCGTCCTTGCTGCACCCTGCGATTAACAACGTGTCCCCTAACCTCTCGGGTGTCCGATAAGGTGACCGAGCCCCGAGGATTTAGAGGCGTGGACTCGGGGGATGAAGGCGCGAAATGGAAATTCGATTTTGAGCAGAGAGACTCGTCCTCCCGACATCGATCGCGAGTATCGCTTCTCCTGGTTGGTCCGACGATACTTTGACTCGCGCTACTGAATCGTAAACGTTTTAACGATCTCGGAACTATTGGCTGGGTTTTCGTTAGTTTCGTAAATGCGTCAATGCGGAAGATACGTTTCGACGCGCACGCACACGCACCGCGACATTTCACCGTTTTTGTTCGATGGACGTGCCCAGGAGCGGAGAGGAGGGGGACTTTGGATAAACTTCTCGGGACTTTTTACTCGGATCGCATTCGCGCCATAGTAGCCTGGAATCTCGGGGTTAGTGGAATATTCTCGGCCGGCGTAATTCGAATTTCGAGTCGGTGGGGACGGAGCGTTTTCGAATGCCCTGCGCGGCAACGAAGCTTGACACGCGTCGCGGAGAGAGTCGGGGGCGCTGGTTCCCCCGGCTGATCCGATCGGTCGCGTTCGCTTTTTGCCTTTCGATTCGACCCGACGGGAAAGTCATTCGATAGCAGGCGCCGAGTCGGCGTGGGTCGATTAAAAATGTCGAAACGGCTGAGCTGCCAGTTGCACGTGCATCCCAGCGTTGAAATTTGTCAGGCCTGCGAGTGTAATGCCACGGACACACTCGCGGCAGGCGCATAGGTGCGCGAATCGATATCAGTTAGGCGCGTTCTGCATGGAACGACTGCTCGTTTGTTCGCCGGTGATTTTGACGTATTAATTATCAGGCTGCCTTCGAAGCTCGTTTGTTATCGTCTTCCCAGCCGCCGGCGGGCATTTGTCCGAAAAATCTGCCCGATTCGTTATTAATGCGTCGACGATCCGACGAGCGGCCGAGATTGATAAGCGATAACGAGGGGACCGATGAGAGGTCGCCGAAATGGCAACTGCGACCGTGGAACAGAGCTCGTAAGGCTAAATAATCGGATGCGGTGCTTTTAAACGCCGTTACGATTGCGCGCCGTTAATGGCGGCCGATTTTCAAACGTAATTTCCGGCCAGTGGACTCGTTGCACGCGATCTTCGAGTAAGTCAGCGGCGAAAATCGATCGCGATTCCTCGGTTTACCGACGTCCAGTCGCGTCAACGACTGGTTCAAAAGATTCGGCGAAAAGTTTGCACAAACTCTAGAAAATAAGGCCCCCGGAAAGTTGAGAAAACGAGTCGGCTTCGCCGTTAATCCTGCAACTACGAGAACGGTTTTCCGTGTCTAAAATGGTAGACAATGGTCGGGATGACGCGACGCCGGGCGTCGTTGGAGCGGCATCTCTGAATACGCTGCAGCAGTGTAGGAAGAGCAGTGCAGGGGTCCGACCTTACCGACCGGGCTGGATATCCGCGTCTGATACACCGGTACGGAACTACTGAACCTCTGACTGCTCGTCGGACACGTTCTAGCGAAACGGAGGTTATAATCCACGGTTGAACGTCGTTAATCCTTTTCCCAAACTTTCTTTCTTTCTTCTCTTTCTACAGCGGCGCGACGATATTTACGAAACGGTTACCGAGGGAAACGCGATTTTATTCCTATTCGAGAACACGTTTAATTAAACCGCAGGCTGTCGCGAGTTGCTCCGTGGGTGGGATTTATCAAGATTCCTCGAACTGGCTCGTTCTTTCTGCCGGAGAAAAATGGCCGGTCGAAGAATATTGTCCAGCGACAAATTGGCAATTAGCATTTTCGAGTCGGGGTTCGAGGCGCCAATTAAAGTGCGACCTTGTTATTATCAGTTGGCACACCCTTCGCTCGTCTCGAAGGAAAGAGGCTGCTGCTTTTCTCCTTTGGCAGCCACCTTCGACGAGCCCTCTCATCCGGTAACGTAACTATCTACTCGAGAGGCAGAGGGGGCTGGAGTAGTCTCGTAGCTTAGCGTGATTTCGTCTTCGTATTTCGAAACCGTTTAAACGGAAACGCCAATTTTTCCTTCCATTTTTATTATTTACACGTCGAGGCTTTCGTTATCGTTGCATCGATTGCAATCGACGAACTGTCAAATCGATATTAATTATACTCGCCGAAGACTCGTTCGCGTTGTTTGAATGAGTTTACCTTTACAAAGGGGGTAGGAGGCAGTCCATCGATCTGCTTTCCTTGCGAATAAAACTCTTCGTTCCGGAATCTTAATATTCGATGCTTCTCCGCTCGATACTTTCTGAAAATTAATTAACTTTCGCCGAGTTGAAAGGAGTCTGGGGAAAAGATGAAAGGGGCGTAAAGCGCATTTGCGAGCGGGAAATGCTTCTTAATAAACTAATGGCACGACTCGCGAGATCATCGTTGCCATTGCTAGCCGAGGAGGCTCACGCGAGCGTGAACTCGCGTAA